TGCAAAGCTGTTCTAAGATGATGATAACGTCTTTCATATTTTTGAGACAATGCAGAAGTTCCCTGTTATTAATATGAAGAACTGATAATGCTCTCACACTGCCCTGCACACTGAATGTTTTTTTGGAAGGTTTAGGGACTTTGGGGCTGCATTGGTAGAACATGGATCTCAGCTTCTAAAAATCTCCCCTTGCACTTGTACAGCAGAATTACTTGAAAGCAGCGGGTGTTTGCTGGGACCTTGTGCACTCCAGCACAGCTCTCACCTCATCAGCGCCAGAGACACAACACGTTGTACAACCAGACTGAGTGCACAAAGGTGACAAACAAGCAGTGCTGAAACCCCCTCCTGCTCTGCCATGACCCCCCTCCTGCAGCACAGTACTGTCCATACCCACAGCGGGATCTGCTGAACTCGTGTCGGGTGAAATGCCAGGCAATTCTTTTGTGAAAGGTACACACACATTCCTGGCTGGCTGAGCACTAATGATGCATCTTTCATACCTGGATTCTTAACCAGAGGCCTGGCTGCAGAACTGGTGTTTTGAGATTTGGGATTATTTCTCATTACCTTACTCTGATTTGGTTGGCAATAAATGAAATTCATTTCCCCAAGGCAGCCCTGTTTTCCCTGTGACTGTAACTGTTGAGTGATCTCTCCCTGCTCTGTCCTGATCCACCAGCCTTTCATTCCATTTTCTGTCCCCTGTCCAGCTGAGGAGGGGAGCCATAGAGCAGCTTTGGTGGGCACCTATTGTCCAGCCAGGGTCAGCCCACCAGCTGGTCCCACCAGTCCTTTCCAATAAGAAATGCAGGAGGGTAGGACAGCACTGTAGCTCAAGAGAGAAATCAGTGCATCCAAATTACAGCAGTCCTATCCTGACTGACACAAAAATGTATGACTCAAATGCACTTGATCCAGAACACAGCTCCTCATCATTTCTAAATCCTACCTAATGAATAACTAATGGAATCTGAATCCTGTTGTGCTATCTCATAATGTATTGTTTGTGTTGCCTGAAATATGGTGAATAGAATTATCTGACTCTTTCTTCTCTGAGTCTCTCACAAAAATGATGTTTCTCAAGAGGCTCTTTCAAAATTCACATTTCCAATAATTCACAAAAGAAGATGAAGCTACAATCTTTTGCTCTCAGATGGATTTCAGTGCTACTCCATCATATATGAGTGCAAAGCATGTATGAACAAATTCTGACCGTGCTGATCCCCCTCCCTCACCTCGCAACAATCAGGAGAAAGCAGAGAAACAAATTTACAATCTGCAGCAGCCTCATCTCTCTGTCCTTCACAAGAAACCACTGGAACATTTGGCATTGTCCTGAATCAGAAGGTGGGAAGGACAAATGTGCAATGGGATGGCAGACAAACAACAAGAAACAACAAATGAAAACTGAGGAAAATGATATTTCAGATGAAATGTCCCTTGCTGCAATAAGGCTCCCTGGCCTCAGCACCCCTCTGAGCACAGCCATGGAACAGGGAGATGGCAGCACAGGGCCCAAAGGCTTTTGTCCATGCGAGGATGGCAATCCCTGCTTTCAAGCTGCTGCCAAGCACCACAGCCCTTTTTGCCAGACACTAATTGCCTGCCTTTCCTCCACCTCAACAACTGGGTGATTGCTTGATTTCACATAGTCCTCCTGTTAACTTCCATCCTTGGGACAAAAGAACTGTCCACGGCACCTACAAACACCCCGGGATTACCCTGGAATTGCTGAACTGTATTTCAATGCCTTGGAAAACCCTTACTAATGAGCAACTTGGCTATTTTCTCCACCTCAAGAAGTGCATAAACATGATGCAATAAGACACAGAGTGGCAGCCAGGTTTCAGTGGTGACTGACACAGACCCAGTTCTCCCATCAGCTACAACCTCTGACTGCAGCTGCAGAGTAAAAAGGGCTGACTGGCACTGCTGAAAGGTTTTAATCTGTGACACAGATGATTCACATTCATTATTATACATGCATAATCGTAATATAAATGTTCAAATAGCTGAAACACAAGGAAATAAATACAAATGTGGCCATAACAAAGGCACAACATCTATTTCTGTTTATTTGGATTTGGCAAATTTCTGTAAGGCAGAATGATTTTAGAATCATAGGAACATACTGATTTTGCAGGATGTTTGCACAGTTGTCCCCTGCAGGCTCTCCTGCCGATCTCTGCAATTAGTAACAAGCCACTATTGCTAAATTTAGGAGCAGGAACTCATATTTCTGTGACATATTTTGTCAATAACCCAGAGAAAAGATGTATTTATAGCTGTGTATTTCAGGCAAGTTCATAAATTAAAACAAAACTGACAAAAAACACAGACTAACACTTTGTCAATAGAGAACACTGTCAGTTTTGAGCAGGGAACATAGAGACAGGTACAAAGAAAACCATCTTTATTTAGATATCTCGTAGCCACACTGTGTTTCAATCACAAGAAAAGCAGAATCTAAGTATTTGTCCTTAAAACATTTTTTGATGTTATATTCAGGTCCTAATCTACAAGTTTTCCAACTTGATGCAGGTTGGAGACTTCCCAGAAGACAAGGACTTACTGTAAGTGAAGGACTGACAGTGCTGAGCACAGGCATTGCTTTGCTATTCCTGTGCAGAAGCTCCTCTGGAAAAGGGCATGACTTGTTCTCACTCTGACCAGAGAGCAAAACCTGATACAGAACAGTGCCCTGCATTTGAAGGCTGGAGGAGAATACATTTTGACTTATTCAGTCAAATTGTGTGAAAGGGAATTTAAGAAAAAAGAGCTGTTGTGTGTGAACATCTACCTTCTATCACTAGCATTTAAAGATGAAGATTTCAGGAACTACACAAAACATAAATTGCATGAGGTTCAAATAATCTGCTTCTGAAGTCTAGCTGTGCATTGTAACAGTTTGTCCATAAGCAGCATTTGTATTCAAGATTTTTTTCTTCTTCACAAAATGACATATTGACACAGGCTGCATTCCAGTTCTGATTGTATCTAATCTGGGAGTATATTTGAAAAAATTCTGGGTTGTGCTTCTGAAACTTCTATTACTTCTGGTAATAAATCTCTTTGTCCTTGTCTTTACTACAACATCCACACATGACAAATGAACACAGATTGTTCAGAGAGATTCGTCAGTCCTGAGCTTTCCCATCTGCTCACCTCTCACTCCCTAATTTGCTGCACAGGTTGTAAAGAGCTGTTCTGGTTGGTTGGGGATGGATAAAGGGGAGACAGTTGTGAAGCAGCAGTTCTGAACCAGAGAGCAGTGACATGATCCCTTGGATGGTGTCAGCACCAGCAGAGGCTCTTCCCTCCCCACAGGAGAGGAGAGGGGCTGTCCCAGCACAACTGTCACCTCTCCAGGAGTAATGGCAACCTCAGGAATGCTGCAGCCTCTAGTCTGGGAACTGTTGTCCTTAAGGTACATGAGACAAGAGATGTGCTTGGCACTTGCTGCTGGCAAAGAGGTTCAGGGACCCAAGATCACTCAGTCACATTCCATGGCCATCTCTATCCAACCATTAAGGACAACTCCAAAATATAGCCCCATATTAGCCACTATGAAGAAAATTACCTCTACCCAAGTCCAACCTGCACAGACCTGCAGGCACCTTACAAGGTCCTATGTCACAGGAATGCAGCTCTATATTGTTTTTGCCACCCTGCTTTGCACAAACTGAGTCCTTGACTGCAGTGGCAGTTGGGTGTCCATTTCTTTCATTGCCTTGTTCTCTTCAGGGTACCCTGTTCCATCAGCCTTGGATCACAGAATTATACTCATGGTCAACAGTGAAATCTGGTGATGATATAAAGCTATCTAGGATATTGCATATAAATGTGGCAAAAGGACATTCCCAGACTAAACAAATATGGAAAAAAAATGCAGCAAACACAGGAACAGATACTCGGAGTCTGACTATGGATTTATGTGACCCTGTAAACTTTACCTTTTAGTGGCTAATAGCAAATTTTTACTTCTCTTTTCTTACAGAAAACTCCTTACAGAATGTTTATTTCCCTGCTACACACTCCAGGAACCAGCAGCTGAGGGATTTCTAGAAGCTCTATCTGGACCCTCAGGCTTCTTGTCACTGATGGAAGTTCTCATCCCTGAACCTGTCAGTTATTTTTCTGAATCCACTTGCAGTCTCCTCTATAGCCTCTGGCAACATTCCACAGCTATTACAGTGCAATGTACAACAAAATACCTCCTCCTGGCTTGTTTCAAACATATCATTGCATCAGAGGCACTTTCTGATTTCTGTACCGCAAGGAACAGTGTGTAATTTCCCCATTCCCCTTCTCCACAGCACTTGTGACAGTGGAGGCCTCTGTCTTAACTTCTTCCCCACACTTCTTCAGCTGTCTCTGTATACAGCCTCCCCTAAAACACCCCCCATCCCACATTTCTGATGCACTCCTCTGAGCTCTAACTCTACTGTATCCAGATTTCTAATGCTCACGTTGTAGAAGGAACCAAGCATTGCAGTTCTCCAAACCAGCACCTCAACTCCTCTAATCTCCCAATATGAAACCACTCCTGAGAGCTGAGAGAACAGAACATGCTCTCAGACTGACCTGCAGAGCAGCACTGATGCTACATTTGGGGGCCCAATTCATTATACAAAAGAGAGTAGGGGAAATCTGTTCCCTGCTTAGCTCCAAAGGAGAGAGGGGAAGATCTCCTAGGAGGGTCATACCACCCCAGTGCAGAAGGGTGTGATGTCAGAGGAGCTGTACTTCAATTCTACAGGCTATCAGTGGCAACTCAAAGTCTATACAATTATAAAAAATTCAAGGAAGGCAATTTCTTTTCCTCAGCAGTTCTAAGATCAAGGTTTTACTTGTGAGTGAAGAGGCCAGAGACTCCAGAAGGCACCACTGCTCTTAAACATGAAAGCTTAGGCTGTATCTGTTCTCCAAGACTAGAAAGTGCTTATTAGACAAGACTGGATAAGGTTATTTTAGCAAACTGGTGAAGATTAACTCACCTGAGGGCACTAGCCACTATTCAGATGACAGACAGTGGGGACAGTTGAGCTGCTGACCTCCACCAAAATGAAGGAGGATCACTTCCTCTCGTTAGAATAACCATGTCCTTGGAGATCCTGGATCTGTCAAAGGAGAACTCACTGCAGGACCAGGGCTGGGTTCTGGTTATTACCTAGGAGAAGGAAGAAATATGGTATTTAGAGACAACTTTCCCTCTAAGCTGAGCACGAGTTGTCAGTAGCTCTGTGTAAACTACTGTGCAGTTTCTTTAACAGACTGAAAGGCCTGTGCAGTTTCGTGTAAGGGAGTTTTGTAGGAGCAGTTCAGAAATGGAGTCTCTGCATTCAAGCAAACCTCTCAGTGTCTCTGTCCCCGATCTCCCAGGATCAGGCAGAGGTTACTGGAACACAGGCCTCTCACAGAGGAATGGAAGAAGATTTCTCCCAGCTCCATGATTCTGCAACACATGGAAATCACAGGCAACTAGAATAAGGAGTGAACTCACTGCATGACTGAATGACAGATTCTGGCATTGTACTTAAAGAGTATTGTTTGGGTGGGAATATTCTTCTTGAATAGTCAGTGTCTGATTCATTGCAAGTGTAAAAAAAAATTAAACACCAATAATATCCAACCCAGTCTAGTCTGCAAGAAAAACTCTTGTTATCTGCAGTGTGACTGAAAAGCCAGAATTTTTACTGCATCAGTGATTCCTGTGAGTTATGCAAAAATATAGAAATAGAAAATTAAGTAGGTAGTGCAGAAGTACTGAAGTGGTAAAGTAGTGCCTTAATAGTAACGTAAAACCATAAAAATGATTGTTCACATTCAATGGTAGAATTTTTAACATCACAATTAATTGCAGAAAAAAAAGAAAAAAAAACAAAAAGAAAAATTTCACTTGGCATCTTAACTCAGCTTGGGTTGCACCACTGATTTAAACAGAAGGCTGTCATGGGCAGCTACAATTTCATGGAAAACTGACCCAGCATTATTTCTTCAAAAGCAAAGGAAATTACCGGTGGCATCAGACTCAAGTGTGACAGACATCATTTCTCCCCCGCAACCCCCGCCAAAAATGCTCAGACAGCAACATGAGCTGCATTAAGTTTCAGATGCATCCATAATAAGAACATGGTATATGAACACTGTTTACATAAGGATACTAAAGAGTGCATGAGATTTGCATTAATGAATATCATTTTACAAATACAGTCAAATGCTAATATTTACTAGTGCAAAATGGCTCAACAAAAATTAGGTGCATCTGCAGAGCAGCTACTTCACTGAAGGACAAATAGTCAAAGGTGAACAGATGCACTGAATTGGACAAGTTAAATTTTATGTTTTTAAAAGATTATGGTAAAAAAATCTAGGTTTGTTATTACAGTCACCTCAGTTTGTGATTCTGGTCTCTTTTATTTGTTTTTGTCTACAAATTTATTTATTTATAGAGCAATAAGAAGCTTTGAGAATATTGGTCTAATCAAGGAATCCTAAAAGGTTTTAATTAAGGTGATTATAATACCAGCTCAGGCCAAGACACTCTCGTTAAATGGCAGGACAGAAATAGCTTTATTGTCTAAACAAGTTTTTCTGAAAACATTAGCTCTGACCTCTCCTGAAGTCACCCAACTTCACTATAATAAAAATCAGTACTATTATCTTCATCTTTCCCCTTTTGCATAGGAAGAGATTTTAAAGCAGCACAGGCAGCAATTCCAATTTTCTCTGCAGTGCAATGCCTCGCACACCATGAGGTCATCTGCTACATTTTTGGCACAAATATTTGGAAAAGCCTGTTACAGCATAGGAGAGACCAGTTGCTGCATTTACACCAGTGGATAACAACAGCTCTAAAGAATTCTTTGAATATACACTGAGGGAAATACTATGTATGTGAATTATTGTGCACATACATATATAGATATAAACTGAGGAAAATCTGTGTGCCTGCAATAGGACAAAAAAAAATATAACAAGAGTGGTTTGTATGAACAGCGTATGTGCCTTGCAGAGCTGACATTCAGGCCATCCTTGCCATGCCCGATGTGGAGAGATGCCTCTCACACCATCCTGATCCCTAGATGGTGCTATTTGCTGCAGTAACCACAGCTCCTTCCCAGGACACCCAGCACTTTGGGACAAGCAGTATTCCTTGGTTCGAAGTTACAGAAGCTGAATGCAGATGTGAATAATTCTTATCCCTGTTAAATATGTTTGCCCTGAACCTGAGGCCCACCTCACTCCCTGTAGGCTGTAAGAGGAGTGATTCCAGTGAAGTGGTATGAATGAAAGCAGGGTCTGGCACTGCCAGTCTGCCAGGGCTGGTGAGGATTCTCCCAGGGAAGCTGGATCAGCAAGGCCTCGTGGCAGAGCTCAGCAGTTTGTGCCCAGCAATCCTGGAGCTCAGCTGCTCAGCTGAAACAGCTGCTGTGCTCCACCCAAGGTCTGACCAGCAGCTCTGACACCAGCTTGGGCATCTCACTGATGGGGCATCAAGTTCCACTGCACCCCACAGATAATGCCCATCGGGGTTTGGTCACCTGGTACACTGGCAATGCTGTCTGGAGTGACTTTAGTACCAGCACTGGAAGCCCTCTTGAATTAGCCTGCACCTTTCCCATCAGACTTAGCTCAACACAATTTTACAAGTGGTTGAGGAAATGGCATGGAACTGAGGCACAGTAGGAACTGTGTAACAAAGAAATAAAGCCCAGTATTTTTAAGTTCTCAGGCACTGTGACAGTCAATTAATAAATATACCTAAATAAAAAATAATATTAAACATTTATTGTACTATTGTATTTTCTTCTGATTCTTTGCCTTTATAAAAGGTAGCTGTATCTGGCTAATCACTTAGCCATTTGGTTCTCATAAATGTGGTATCTGAGCATCTCATTACAAAATCAACATTTCTCAAACTACTTTGTAGGGGTTTTTTTGGGGCTTCTTAAACTCATTAGATTGACAGCATGGACTAGGAACTGTCTCAGTACAGACAGATGCACTGCACATATCTCTTCCAATACACTTCACATCAGACGCTCTGGGCACGATTTTCTTAAATAGAAAACAGCAACTGTGATGATCTGTTGACAAAACTGGAGGTGATGTTGTGATAAACAACTGCCCTCTGCAGCCTGACTGCCAAGCTGGCAGTCTTAGTATGAATTACAATCACACAGAATCTCTTTAACGCACTGAACTTTATAAAAAGGTTTTCACAGCCCCCTGCTCTGGCCTTTGCTTAGGCAGGTAGTGTGTCTTTACATATTGGTGTTTCCTAAAAATCTACCCTGACATGTTGAAAACCTCCTGAAAGTTTGTCATTGAAGATGAGAACCCCCACACTCCTTAAGCATGTTTGAAAACTTCTGCTTAAGCTATAAATTTGTCATGAAATACAAAACTCTCGGTGAGATCTGCTTCGAAGTTTCTAAAGTTAAGGGTGCCAAATGTTAAGTGCATAAAAATGCCAATGAACTGAATTAGATGAGAAAGAGAAGGATCAGCTTTGCAAGGTAGCAGGAGGGAGTCCTTCAAGGGAATAAAGCAGATTTAGTGGGGAGTAAATTTCAGAGGGAAGACACAGATGATCATCCTCCCTGCACCTCCTTGTTTGTGGAGAGATTTGGTGGAAGGACAGACAGAGGCTAAGACAAAAGCCATCACCCAGTTGGCAAATAACAGGCCACAATTATTAAAAAAAAAAAAAAAAATCCCCAAAAGGACAGGTTTCATTCCAGTTTCATCAGGAAATCAAAAGGCACACCCCTGACTCGATTCCAATTACCAGATTTCAGTTTCCTGCCTTGAAGACTCAGGGCATGAGGACCCTTCAAAGGGCAAGTCACCAGAATTTTAGCAGAGGTGAACGTGTTACGTCCCAGTTTCATTCTTGACAGTGGTGGAGCTCCTCTGGCTCTGTGCTACAAATGTTGCCCTGCAGCTTCCCCCTTCCTCCCTCCTTCCAAAAAAACTCCCAACCAACCAACCAACCAACCCACCCACCAACCCAAACAAAAACCCCAAACAATTAAGAAATCAGTCTTTATAAAACACCTTACACTGAAAATTTCAGTGTCTTGATGTTCAGAGTTACAGATCACGGGCAGTAAGACCTTATCTCAGGAAGTGTCTGGCACCATCGTTAGACAACGCTGTCAAATGTCCCAGAGTAAACCCCAGCCTGAAGTTTCAGGCTGCATTTTACCTACAGACATACACATGTAACTTACAGCAACTCAAAGCCCTCCAAAAAATCAATAATACTAAGTTCTTTGTATGCTGAAAATACTTGTTAATTATTGTGGCAGTGATTAATAGACACCAATGAGAGAGTATTTAAAAATACCCAAGTCACCAAGGAGCCCAAATTTTAAATAGAATAAGGCTGTTTGAAAGTCCACTCCTACATCAGTCAGCCTTTTACTAAGTGATGTTGGCAAAGAAGCTGAAACCAAAACCAAAACCAAAACCTTTCAGTTTTATCCTTTGAGAAGTAGTTTAGAAGCCATTTCCCTGCCTTTTGGTGAAACTCCAGACTTTAAAGGAAAACTATGACAATTCATTGCTAAATGACAATGGAATTCCTCCGTAATTGCACGTTACATGCATCCACATTAATACAAGATAATTTCATTAGGTCTGTTGCTATAATGAATACCAAACACAAAATGTGAGCCCAGAGATCATTTTCCTAATCAGAAGTATCAGACCCCAGGAACTCTCAGAGAATAGGGCTATTAAAATGTAAATAGTTTCTTTGAAATTTAAAATGCCATTTTCAAAAACAGATGTTCTTCTTGATCATTCCTTGCATAGATTTCTGAAATCTGTACTCAGGATGGCTAACTGAAAATCAGCTGGATATTAGCCTCAGAAACTCTTCCTAATTTATGAGAACAGTTTCATTAGAATACACAGCTACATTTTATCAGCACTTCTGATGAGGTGATTTAAAGGTAAAAAATCATAAATTTGATTATAATGCACGCACATTTCTCTCAACCAGCCTAAAACTTCAGGATGGGAAAACATCTGTTGTAACCTAAAAGCCTGAGACAAAATGGACAAAAAACTCTGTGTGGCTGATAATTTAACACACCACTTCAAAACCCCAGAGTTGAAAGTTGCACAATATCAATGTTATTGTTCAACTCTTCATCTCTTCATCAGATGTGAGAAGTCAGGAGGAAAACTTCCCATTGTCACAAGGAAGAGCAGGTTCAAGTTCAGGTTAGTGGGGTTAGCTCCAAGTTCTAACAGCAAATATGGCATCAATATACCAATGGCTCACTCATCCAAGCAGGTCTCCTCCAGCTGCAGAGGGCAGTAGATGGGCAGACTGTGCCATGAACTGTGTACGAACAGTCGACGCTAAAAATCCAGTCCACAGAATTTTCTTTTATGATGTGCCCCAAGACTCTGAAATCTGGCACAATAACTCTGTAGGTCACACTTAAGACATGGTTCTGGCTCCCTGTTGCTTTTAGTCCATTATGTGTGTTATTTAATATCATCTGCAGAGCAATAGTTCTTTCAAGTTTTGCTTCTGTTAAGCACTGCTTTTCCTCAGACATCAGTAATTACAACCTTCTAAGGCACTTCATCAAGAGTGACTTTTTATTGCTTAGCTTCCCCATCAGTGGAAGAACTGAGCTCCCAGTGACCTTTGGTCTGATCCTTAACATTCCTGCTTCTTACAGAACGGGCATTTCTGCAAATTAGTCTTGAACTGTGCCTGTATGTAATATGTGCTCTAAGGGAGAAAGGTTTGATATGGGTCCACAATCATCGCTTTTCTGTGCCTTAAAAATAACTTGAACCCCAGTCTCCATGGTAACAGATACCTCCAGTGAGTCCTAGCAAATCTTGGTTCTTTTTATGGACAAGATGAACAGGAAAACCGTAAGGCTCCAATGAAATCTCTCATTACTGCCAGAGTCTTACATCTTCTTTAATCCTCTGTTAATGGTGTGCACTAAAGGGTGCTATGCCTACACAGAGCCATGTTTAAATATCATTATCCTTCCTGCACTTTCACATTGTGGTGCTAGAAATGCTAAGAACAATTCCCTCAAATCTATCATGCCATTAAAAAGTGACCAAAGCACACATCTGACTGTACTCTGTATGTACAGACTGTCTTAACAGTGCAGAATGAAAGTCTCTGACTTGTAAGGCTTGATGGTCATTTGCTGATCCACGTGTGCTCACTTCATGAGAGTCATTGGGGAAAAAAATGTGGCAGTGTGACAAGTCTTCTCACCTGCATAACACACACTGAGGCCTGCCCATGAAAGTGCCCTTTGGCTCATTTCTTTTTGGAAACTGATACTGACTCTCCCATGGCTGAACCATTGAAGCAATTATGAGCAAACTTCCCACATTTTACTGGGGAGCCTTTCTACCACTGCAGTTTTCCAGCTAGAGAAGAACCAGCACCAGGCCACCAGTGCAGCCAGATTTCAGGCTGAGATCAAGCAGCTTTCTGAGCTGTGCTCCAAACCTTTTAGTCAGCCAGACAGAACTCTGTAGCAGAAGGCACTGCTATGTCTTTTGTTTTCTAGACAAAGTCTTGGGAGCCTTTAAAAATGCAGATACTGCTTTCAGTGCTTTGGAAAACCCAGCCTATAAATGAAAGTTTTAGTTAGAAGAACATATGTTCTCACTTGGTTTTAAGTGTATATACTACCAGTAGCTGCAGGGTAAAATTTAATCAAGAATTATACTGCTGTGTCTAAAATCTTAGGATCCACCTTAGTCTCAGCCAAACTGACTAAATGTTAAGCAGCCCCTACAAGCCTTGAACCTTGTCCAGCTGAGTGGCACTTCAGCAGTTTCTCCAGGATCAGTGATAGAGGGTACAGCTCTTTGCTTGCAACTGCAGTATCTCCTGCTGGTTTTAAAGTACTTGACCCTTAGGAAGCAGCACGAGTGGGCCTCAGCCAATCAGTTCCATGTCTCCCAGGCAGGGATCTTTGCAGTACTGGTCTGCTTTGGATACATCTCCCACAGAACAGCCTGTGGTTACTCTGCCAAAGGCAGGAGAAGACACAGGATGAAGCTACCCACGTACCATTTGCCCTCAGGAAGAAATACAATTATATCAACTCTAAAAAGTCATTAATTCCCAATTTGAGATCTCCAGCTCAAGTTTAATAAAGGCTCTAAGACTATGCTACATAATTTATGTGGTGTTCATAGGCAGAATCCTCTGCATAAAGTTCTTCTTGGCTTGAAAAGTGCAGGAACAAATCCTAAGGATATAAACTCTAAATTGAGAGACACTGGGACTAACTACTTGGGGGGCCTTTCCTGACTTTCTGAGGCATTAAGAACTCCAAGATCTTTGAACAGTTATTTAAGAAAGAAAAAAAAATAATGAGAAGAAGAAAGAAACTCAATGATTTTCTTTACCCACTTTTACATGGAAAGAGCAGCAGAGCCAAACAGGAACTCACAAACAACTGGAAGTACCAACATGATTCAAGCAGCCTCTCCAGTGATTTGTTGCATTCATTTAGACTGTAAGTTCCAAAAGGTAAATCCCTTTTCTTACCATGCATCTGTGCAGCTCAGTATTGTATGGGCTCCATCCCCCTGGCACTCACCAGCCTTGGGTGTAACACAACGGAGGAAGGGCAGAGACTCCAGCTTGGACTAACTGAAAGAAGCACAAGAAAGAGATGTTATCTTCACATTCACACTTCTGACAAAAAAACATAGTTCCTGGAATCACTTTCATGAAATTTCTTGCATGTAACATTACTCACCTTTATGGCAGCACAATTCTATCTAAAAAAACCCCAACATATCTAAATAGCAAAACAAATCAAACAAACAGCCCAGACCATTTACTGCTTTCTTTTGCTTCCATGTCAACAAGTAAGTTCTAGTATTTCTCACTTTCTTTGAAAAAGCTTAAAACTCACCCAAAGATACAAAAGAAAGATGCATCTATCAATGTCTTTCAGATTGGCAGCCAGATGAGAAGACATACAATGCGTATTGCTTAAATAAACAGTTATTTAAAAACCTTTCTGTTGATAAATGGAAACATTTGGGTAAGGACTGTCATATCTGCCCTAAATCCATTTCTGTGATAAGCAATGCTAGTCTTGCTGATTTGAATTCAGTTAATGATAATCCACAAGGTTTCTAATCTAAGTGCCTCATCCATCATTTCTAGGCTACCTGAAGGTGCAGTCAAAAGCAGGGAAGAGATGCCATTATAGCAGATGTGTTCTATATTGTCCTTTTAATATACACTCAGATCATTAACTTTGATTGGTGTCCTCGTGTGGGTCGGATTCAAAGCCATTAACACTGCAACCCTTTCCCTAACGTGCACCAGGCCCATCATTCCTGTTATGCTACTTTTTATAAAGTCAAGATTTATATCTTGGCACGTGCTGTTTGTTTTTAAATCCCTTCTTTTGCTATGCTTTTTCATTAAGCACATAGAAGGATCTGCCAAGGTTTGGCACAGTTAAATGGAGAGTATCCTCCCGTGGCGACCACAAGAAAGAACAAGCATTTATTGCATCTGGTTTTCACAGGGAATTTTTTCTTAGACTTTCCAGGAAAATCTTAAGAGAGCAACTGCACTGAGAAGTCATCAGTTTGCTACTTGCTGGATGGATTACACTGATCTGCTTGCAAAGGTCCCACAACTTCTGAGACTGGAAAGACCCACTCATATATTTCAGCTATCCAGACTGTCAATCCTGCTGTTATTCTTCTAGCTATACTAGCTTGCTATGCTATTTCTGCTATTATTCTTCTAATAACATATTCCAAAATGTCCCAATACAGTCCTTCATCTTCACCCAGTTAAACATGATTCAGCTTGTGAGTATTTCAGTTGGCTTTCTTTGTGATGGGCATTAAAGTCAAGAATATAAATAGTTAAAGCCCAGGTACAACAAAATCTTACTATTTTCTACTCACTGACTCGGACAAAATTGCTGTTTTGCCTCTGCTTTTCCTTCTGTCATTGCGCTTCTGGTTTTTATTTCTATGTATTTATCACCTTTAGTGCACACATTTTCTCACTCTCTGCCTAACTCATTTTCAGGGAAACACCTCAGCTGCATACCTGAAGAGCTCATATCTGTACAAGCAACAAACACACCGCAGCAATCTGAACAAATGAAATCCAGAAGCGATATGGGCCCAACCAAACACACCTCGTGGCCAAATCTCAGCTCATTCCCAAATACCAATTTTTTTCAAATTAAGTTTTTAATAAACAGTTGGCCACTTAGAGATAGTACAGACCCAATTGCACTCAAGCAAAGAGCCTGGACACCTACAGCCCTCAGCTTATGCCCAGGTAATTACAGGTTCCAGAACATTTGCAAGGCTATAAGCAGATGGTCGTGTCTCATTCTCACTGTGGCCACTTCGACTGTAACCATGTAGAGCTTTATTACACAATTAAAAACACATATATGAGGTCTTTCACTTGACAGGTCTATATTTAAGCAAGGACAAAGCAAGGTCAATAAGGACAAGAGATTTTGGGAAGAGATAACAGGGTAAGTTGAACGTCTATTGCGAAATAAAGGGTGACAGAAGCCTTCTGGATTTCTGGGACTGAAAGGACACACACAAACCATATTCCCTGGTACCTGCCCACAGCAGCACACAGAGGAAACCAGGTCAGGACTCGGCATACTGTGACAACACCAGATTTTAATGCCTCAAAGGAGCAGCTTGTTCTTTGGCTTCCCTTTTACAGTAATTGTTGTGCCAAAGACTGACTTCATAATTATCCTGCATTCACGGTTTTTTTTCCTCTCTGACTACACACAGAAAACTGGTTGTTGATTAGAACTTCATTCAAGCATCCCTTGGTATCCAGCTCATCTGAAGCATGAGAAGGTAATTTAATTTTCACTCTTCTCGTCCCACAAGTTACACTCTGGGGGACAATAGAAAAGGAAGCAGGTCTGTAGGTCTCAGTTTTTCTCCTTATTAGCTTAGTGACACAAAGAAAGAGATGAGCTGTGAATGAATGCTGCCTTTTCTGAGCTAGTCCTCACAGGCTTATGCTTCCTTCACACCCAGGAGACTGCCACTCGAGCTGGACAGGAGTTCCTCACACTCATGTGTCACCTGGAAATGCACAAGTAGCAGTAACACAGCAGCACAGCCAGTCTTTAACATATCCCAGACTTCCTTTATCCAGCGCTTGGTTGAAGTGAAACACCCCATTTTCCCCAAAAGAAAACTGGCTCATTTGGTGATGAGATGGAGGGAAATAGCACCAAACCCAGACCCTACGAAATGCTTTATCAAACTCATATTGCAGCCAGAGGATTTGACACCAAATGTCCCAGATTCACAAGGAAAACAGACAGCAGATATCTCAGGTCAGGTGAAAGAGGGAAATGTGCCCCAGCAATGAGGCTACAAAACGTCTGCTTTCATTTGTTTGACAGGGAGTGAAGAATATTTTATCTGGGAAGTCATTCAGCAAATCCACTCTGTGTGGACATACAAAAGAGAACTGGCTTTGCTGTCAATGGAATAAAATGGTGTTTGCTGAAAGAGAAACTCATGTAGGGTTGTGAGTTGCGTCTTTTACTTCATGTTCAACAATCCCAGTGTCCATGTGTCCTGCTAAATCCGACTATAATCCAATTCTGAGTTTAAAACTATCTTTTCCACTCTCAAAAAGTTTGAAGGCTGTTTCTTTCAAACCAGAGTCAGGCCCCTAAGACAAAGTTGGTTGGGTTTTTTTTTAACTGTTCTTATAATTTGCAAAAACACTCTCATAAAGGTATGTATCAGGTCACTGCTTGATTGAAGCAAATTGTGTCATGTTGCTCTGTAAAATTTCTGCAATATCTTCAGAAGGTACATTACTGCCTGTGATTACAGAAACCAAATTCTGTTTTGGTGCCTTCTGGTTTCAAGTACTAACTGAGAAGACCATGCAGGTAAATATTAATCAGCAGAAAGCAGCTGCTATTGAAGTTGAAGAGCTCTTGACTTAAGATGCAGATAACAACTGAGGTGACAAATCTGATGTTTACTGAAAATTAGAATTGTGCATGTTTATAAAAGCGTCAGAGACAACTTTGTAATGACACTGGCTTGAAATGGAACTTATATTTGTTTCAACTTTCAGAAGTCAACTGAGGAATGTCAGGCAGCACACAAAGGAGAAGGGTGAATAAAGAGAATAAACCAAGACCTTCTAAAAGTAGCTGCAGGAAGACCTCATATAACTGCATTAGGATTTTTAAGCTAGACCTTCAACTGAAAGTTGCCCATCTAATGGGCACTTATGAAATCAATATTATTAGGTTTGGTTCACCTTCCCTCAAAATTTGTCCCTGCTTTGCAAAATAAACCATGACAAATTCACTGATCTGCATAGTAATTGAATAATTAGCTAATTAGCATGAAAGCAGATATCCAGTGATGTATGCCTGTATGTTGATTAGCAGCAAGCATTTCCTGATAAAAGTGACTGAAAGAAATCCCAACCTGATAAATAAAGTTGAAGCAAATTTCCTTTCCCTTTCAAGAACATGAACAAGAACAGTTTTCTGAAAAAAAAAAAAAATCAGCAGTGATTAACCTGAAATAAAATCCCAGTTCAAAAAGACTAGCTGGAACATGTGATTATGAGGAAGTTAATTTCCTGAAATTTATAGGTTCTTGTAAAACCTATAGATGCACATCATGACTTAGATTAACTTTATTTTAAAGGGATATTGTGCAGAACGAAGGAGCTGTAGTTCTTTAATATCTTTTGGGCTTGCTGCTTAGTATTAAACAGGTTTTATGGGTAGAAAAAATAGTCCACTAATTTAATGTCTAGTCACTCACCTTGTCTTTGGTGACTGTTTAATATAAAGTGAACTAATAATATTAAAAACATCAAATGACAAAGAAGTGGACCCACACATGTTTTAATTTCCCTTTCTAGCTGCAGATTATGGCAGCTAACAATTGGCTGGCTTCCCATGAGCCAACATCTTCTATCCCCCAGAAAACATACTGTCTTAATTTATCCTTAATCTGACCAACTCCCCCCCAGGTTAGATATTGCTCAAAAAATATGCAAAGCACAACCTCCAAACAAGACAGCCCCACCTTGACCAACGACTCACTCCCTTTTCTGCAAAATTCTGTGAAGTGCCCCACAGTTCTTCACAAATGAACATTTAGGACATGTTTTATTCAGCTTCTCCTCACTGCTGAAGCTCCCCCTGTATCCAGCCTTGAGATACTCACCGAGCATGAGCTGCAAAGCTTAGACAGGGAACACCTGTAAAACCTTAATGACACAGCTAAGAATACTGAAACTCGGCAGCTTTTCTGGATTATGTATCACTTCTCCTTATTCTCCCAACTGGCATTTATTCTGTACAGGCATGACAGGCCATAAAAGGAGCTCGGTCTCCAAGTGCCTGCAATGACAGTTTGAATGCCAGTACTTGGCAATCCTTCAGACTAGGTGTGAATTTCTGATAAAATCAGCTGGCACTTGTGCTGCTGATTTGAATGAGAACAAAGTTTTATACTACCCCTGTTGGCTAACCTGATTTAATATGTGGGAAGGATCATTACAATGGTGAGCTATCAAGGTACCTTGATATATGGTCACCACAGAAATTTCTCAGCTGCAGCTAGATGGACTAAGAT